ACGAGGCCGGCCAATACTAAGATTTTAAAAGTCACAAATAAGAATACAGAAAAAGTATTAATAATAATGTTTTTATGTTACAGAAAATGTCACATCTGCTTTATCAAATGAAATAAAGAGACTTCTAAAGCAAGAGTCTCAAACTGCAAGGCCTTCTGGGGCCAGGCAAGTAAAATAAATGGATGAGGTTAGGGGTATAGAGATAATAGGGAGTGGTGGAGACTGTAGCAACAGGACAGTATCCACCTTACCTGAAAGCATTTTAATTCAGATTCCTTTGAAAGATTGTGCTGTTCAAACAAAACATGTTTGAGGGCCGTGTTGCAATTTTTAGCTCCCTGGTTTTCCTAGTCTGTTCTTCTTTCCCAGCTTAAAGACCATTGCCTCCTCTTAGAGCAATCAAGAGTACACACTTAGAAGTTTTACTGTGTTGGAGGGAAGAAGACAAGGAGGGAAGAAAAGAAAGGAGAGAAGCTAGGAGAGAAAGGGAGAAAAAATAGAGAGGAACGTAATGGCCCTGAGAATACTGAGAACAGATGACTAAGACGAGAGACAATGGGGGAAGAATTGCAATATTTCTCAAGGGCCTGTTCTAATCAAGGCCCTACTCTAGTTGAGGCCCTCTGTTAGGAACTGTGGGATGGATGGAGTCTCTGGGCTTCCTGAGCTCACAAATGTCTGGGGCAGACAAAACACAAGTGGGTTGAGTGTTAAGATTGGTTTTGGAGCCAGACAGATATGAGTTTAAATCCTGATTTTGCCACTGACCAAGTATACAGCCTTAGGCAAAATTAATTAACTTCTCAAACTCTAATGTCCTCATTAGTAGCCATTAGGATGATTATTATTAGTATAAAATATTTAAATAGCAATTTAAAACAATATAAAAGATGTCACAAGACAATACGTGATTTGTTACCAAATTAATTGTAAAGACAATAGTGACCCTGAGGTTAAAGGGAGACATCTCTTATAAGGAGATGGTGAACAGAACCATAGACTCACTGAGACAAACATAGACAGGGAGAATCTGCTGGTTTCTTCAAAAGGGCAAAGTCAAGAGAGGTGCTAGATCCCAGTGGATCGCTGGTCCTCATTGGGCTTAGCTTTAATGTGGTGAAGTTTAGGTATATTACAGTACAGGCTAAGCTTTTGTAACAAAGAAACCCCAAAAGGCAATGACTCACTTATGATAGGAGTTTATTTCTCTCTCAAGTAACAGTGATCCATAGCTGATAGGGTGTTTACCACATTCAATAAGGGCTTCCAAGTCTGGATTGAAGATCAGTTCTGATCATGGCCAAGAATCACGAAGCAGGAAAAGGAGAAGGTGAGGCCCCTCCTAATCCTTTTATGAGCAAGACTGTAAAGTGGCACACATCACTTCCACTCACATTCCATTGGTCACATGGCCACATAAAGCTGCAGGGGAGGCTGGGAAAGGTAGTCATTAGCCCAGTGGCCATGTATCTAGCTGAAACGAAAAGTAAGAAGAGAGAAATGGATGTTGGGAAACAATTAACCGTCTTTGCCAGAGATAGACCAATGGGAACCCTAAAATTTAAGGAGATTTTTTAGGACTAGAAGGAGGAAGTCTGCTGTATGATTCAGGTGGGTGGTAGGCAGTAAACATTGCAGGGCCAATTATGCCACAGGGACCTTTGGAGTGAGACTAGATTACACATCTTTATCTACCCTAGTTTTTCCTTAGGGAACTCAGGTGTACCAAATTGGATTACTCATAATCTTATGTCATAAAAAAGTTATTACTAATACAATGCATGGCCCACTTTTGTTTACTAATTTATTTGTTTTTTATGCTGTATTGAGCATTTATGACTGCCCTCATTCAACCCAAGAAACAGAAGATTAACTACAATTCAGATTTATTTATATGCCCCTTTCTTATCCCTGAACCCTTATATTTCAGAGGTAACCACTATCCCAGATTTTGTGTTTATTATTCCTTTGCTTTTTAAACAAAATTTTATCCACATGTATATGTAGGCCAAACAATATATTATTTAATTTTAGTTGTTTTTGAATTTTATAAAAAGGTTATCATACCATGTGCTCTCGATCTTGAGAAATGTATTAGCTGAGTGTAGAATCCTAGGTTGGCAGTTATTTTCCTTTAGCACATCTATAATTCTACTGGATTTTGGTTTCCTTTAGAAGCCTAACTGTGCTCCTATGAATAAAAAGACCAGCAACTACTTTTGAGATTTTCTCTTGGTATTTGGTGTTCAACAATTTTAGTACCATATGTCTAGGTGTAGATTTCCTTTTATTTATCCTAGTAGCAATCAGTGAGGTTTCTTGAATCTGTGGGTTGGTGTTTTTCTTCAGTTGTGCAAATCCTCAGCTATTATCTCTTCAAATATTCTACCCTATTTTCTCTCCTCCCTCACTCCTCCTCTCTCTCTCTCTGAGTCAGAATGTCTTATTAGATCCTTCATGTTTCTTCTCATCCATATTTTCCATCTTTTGTCTCTCTGTGCTACATTCTGGATGATTTCTCCTGACTTATCTTCTGGTTAACTAATTATCACTTCATCTGTGTCCAATCTTACCACATACACCCACTAAATTTTTAATTTCAGGTACTGAGTTTTCCATCTCCAGAAATTCTACTTGGTTCTCTTTCAAATCTGCTAGGTTATTTTCTATGGTTTCCTGTTTCTACATATATTTTCAATATTATATTTTATTTATTTAAATGTAGTAATCAAAGGAAATTCTGACACACGCTACAACATAGATGAACCTTGAGGATATTATGCTAAGTGAAAGAAGCCAGTCACAAAAAGACAAATACTGTATTATTCTACTTTACTACTCTGGATATATCATATCGAGATATATCATATATCCAGAAGAGTAAAATTCATAGAAACAGAAAGTAGAATGGTGGTTGCCAGAGGTTGGGGGGAAGGGAAAATAAGGAGTTGTTGTTTAACAGGTGTAGAGTTTCAGTTTTCTAAGATGAAAAAGTTCTGGAGATTGGCTGCAAAACAATGTGAATATAGTTAACACTATTGAGCTGTACACTTAAAAATGGTTAAGATGGTAAATTTTGTGTTACGTGTATTTTATCACAATTAAAAATAATGCAAAAAAATGTAGTAATCATAATTGTTTCATAATCGGGTATTTTTGCAGTTCTGTTTCTGCTGTCTGTTATTTCTGCTGGTTCTCACTTACAGGGCCTTGTTCCTTGTGTGCTCAGTTATTTTTCACCACGTACTATTCCCTGTCCCTGAAAAATAACTGATGGAGATTCTCTGAGGCCCAGCACAAAGATGCATTCCTCCAGAGAGGATTTGAGTTTGCTTCTGCCAGACACTTAGAGACACTTCCAATTTAGGACTACTTTAAACTAGATTTATGACTTAAAAGTTTTTTTGAATACTTCATGTAATTTGGACTACAAATCCACAAAAAAGCTAGCTATGATGACAATGTCTTGAGGAGAGTTTTCTCCCCATATGTTCAGTGTAGTACTAAGTTAACTTTCCTTGGAGTCTCTTGGGAGAAAGATCAGGTTTACTTCTGATTCACTTTTACTCTAATCAGCCCTTTGGGGAGCCACAACTAATATAGGGAAGGCCTTCTAAGAGACTCCCTACCTTGGTGGACCCAGAGGTTTGATTTTATTCCTCTTTACCTTACAGAGCTCTCATAATGAAATTCAAGTTTGCCCAGATTGACCAATACCCTCAGAGCAAAATTGACGTCCGTGCTTGCTTACCTGTCCCAGTTCCTGAACTCCGGAGTCCCACTGTTATGTATCAAGACTTTGGCCTTCTATCTCTACCTTGTCAGCACTTCTGTGCTGTTAAGACTATTTTAAAACTATTGTATACAGCATTTTTAGTTGTTTTTAGCGTCAAGTTGGCCCCAATAACTTAACCAATCAGAAGTCCCTCTACTTTATCTTTATATCCCTTTCATTGATTTCTGCTCTTCTGTTTAGTTTTTTCCTCCTATTTTTTGTTGTTCTTATTGTTGGGATTTTTCCCCTAACTTGTTGAGTTGAACACTTAGCTCATTATTGCTTTTTCTTTTCTATTATAAGGCTATTCTATCCTAAGTTTCTAAATTTCTTTCTTTCTTTCTTCCTCCCTCCCTCCCTCCCTGCCTCCCTTCTTTCCTTCCTTCCTTTCTTTTTTGGTGAGGAATATTCACCCTAAGCTAACATCTGTGACAATCTTCCTCTAGTGTGAGTCACCACCACAGCATGGCTGATGAGTGGTGCAGGTCCACTCATGGGATCCGAACCCGCAAACCCAGGCCACCAAAGCGGAGCGCAGCAAACTTAACCACTACGCCATGGAGCTAGCCCCCTCTAAATTTCTTTTAAAGCACACCTTTCATTGTATTTCTTAAGTTTTGATATGTAGTGGTGGAGTGATTGCTCAAAGCCAATTGGCGTCCACCAACTGCCTTGATCATCAACTCCTCACCCCAGCAGGGCTATTGTGCTGCCCTGATTTTTCTCCTGAGACACCTGCACTCAAGGTCTGGACAAGTGCAGCCCATTTTCTCCATCAGGGGGCGGCAATGGTTGCCCAAGGCAGTGCTAGGAAAGATAAGAGCATAATTTAAATAATGTTTTCTACTCAGTGTTTTCTAATACTGGCTACATATAAAAATCACTAGGAAGTTTTGAAAAATACTGATGTCTGGGTCCCACCCAGAGAATGTTCTAATTGGGCATGGGTACTTTCAGTGATTCTAATGTGCAGCCAGGCCTGAGAACCAGTTGTCTAATTTACCTGCTCACGGCCACCAGCCCCAGACTGCATCCTCCCTCCTCCCCAGTCACGCTCCCAATCAGGTTTAAACAGTCTTCTGTCTTCCCAAAGCTATTTCCTGGTTTCCATATTTCTCTCTGTTGTTTCTCCAGGGTGAATTTGGGGAATGAGGCAGAAACCCTGGTAATTTACGGCATTGGGAAGAACCAGAATTGTCCCTCCTCCTGTTTGTCTTCACAGGTGGTCTCAGCATGAGATCCCACCGACCTCAGCACTGGTGTGGGATAACCGCCAAAACGGGCACCGTGTTATCAGGGGTCTTTACCATCGTGGCCACCGACATGTACCTCACCTTCGAACAGAAGCACTTAAAGGGGAGCGATTGCGCTGAGCTGAAGGGACGGGCCAAGAGTGTAAATATGCTGATAAATCAGTTCATCACCTGCTGGAGTTGGAATATTGTCCTCTTCCTGTCTTCCATCACCATCATCATCAGCTGCTTGCACCTGTACTCCGTATATGCCCGGATGTACACGGGCTTGATGATCTACATCGCCTGGATTCCTTCCTATGAAATTGCCAACATTGTAATACAAGTCCTCACCAACAAAGAGTCTCTCATCGGAGAGGTCAGGTTCATGCGCTGGTTTGGCTTGGTGTCCCGTATATTCATGCACTGTTTCTGGATATTCTTTGTCGTCACCTATGCCCACACAATCTACAAAAATGAAGGCCAGGGCAATATAGTTCCATACAACAGATATATTTCTACAGGCAGAGGAGAGTTCCCATGGCAGAAATCAAAGATAGTCAACTTTTCCCGCCACTATAGTGAATAACGTTGGCCCTTTTCTCTCCCGTGAGAGGCAGATCCCCCAGGTTCTCATGGCAGTTCTGTTTCCATCTCTTTCACTTTTGCCCATCTGTTCAGCAAACAAAGAGCCTACTGCCACCCTTTCGGGGAAAGTGGAGAGAAATGTGATTATAATCACAACTGGAACATCCTGTTCATTGAAGGTGCTTAGTTAAAGGGCACTGTTATTTATCAAGCACTCCTTGAGTTCCTCCTTCCTATTCTGGTCTGTACCACCTTATTAGTGGTAAATGAAGCTGAGTTGCAGTCTGCCAATCCTTTCATCTTGGTATGTCTTCATCAGCCGTCAACCCACAGCTCTCTAATTTAACCCTGGGACAGACACATCTGTATTTATACCTCAGATTGTTGTAGCACAAAGGATACTGTTGGTGCCTTGGGGTGGCTTTGTGCTCTGGTTTTTCTTCCTGCTATATTCCAGATAAGTAAAAGAATAAAAATAGAGAAAAATCATTCTTTACTTTCTGTCTTGAGTCCTCCTTTGCCCAAATTTGTCAAGAATCACAAAAAGCACTTGGTTAATCAAAAGGTCTTTGCTAAACTTTTCTGGCCTGTCACTGTGCTGGACACTGTAGGAGGATACAAAAAGTGTATGATATGAGGCCTGACCCTGAGGATTTTGCACTTTAGTGGGAGAAACTAAATCACTATTTATGAATCAATTAGCCACCCATGTAAGACAGTACAAGATTACACATTATCACAGATCAACAGACTTCACTTTGCGTTCAGGTGCAGAAACTGTCAGAAGCAGTTTAAGCCAGGATGGAAGAAAAACTGAGAAAATTTCCACTTCAAACATTAGACATTATGTTAAATGTTTATTTATATAATATCTTTCTTGTGGTGTAATTGACATACAATAAACTGCACATGTTTAAAGTATATAATTTGGTTAAGTTTTGACATAAGTACATCCCAGTAAAACTATCACAATTGAATTCATGAACATATGTATCATCCTCAAAAGTTTCCTCCTAATCCCTGCCTCCTGCCCCTTTCTGCACCACCCGCTACCATCACAAGGCACTGATCTGCAGTCACTATATATTAGTTTGCATTTTCTAGAATTTTACATAAATGAAATCATACAGTATGTACTCTTTTTTTGTCTGGCTTCTTTCACTTAGCCGAATGCCTTCAGACTCATCCATGTCATTATGTATATTGATAGCTCATTCTTTATTGCTGAGTAGGATGCCATGGCATGAATATACCACAGTCTGTTTATCCATTTGCCCGTTGAAGGACATCCAGTGGTTTGCAGTTTGGGGCAATTATGAATAACAACGCTATAAACATTTGTGTACAAGACTTTGTATGGACTTATGATTTCATTTATCTTGGGTAAATATCATTTTAACTTTTTAAGAAACTGACAAACTTTTTTCTAGAGTGGAAGTACCATTTTATCTTCCCACTGTCAGTGTCTAAGAATTCCAATTCCTCCACATCCTTGCCAGCACTTAGTATGGACAATAAGTTTTTCATTTTAGCCATTCTAATAGGTATACAGGGGTATCTCATTGCGGTTTTCATTTGCATTTCTCTAATGACAAGTGATGTTGAACATCTTTTCCTGTGCTTGTTCAGCATCCTTATTTCTTTTTTGGTAAAGTGTCTCTTCAAATCTTTTGGCCATTTTTAAAAATTAGGTTATTTCATTGTTGAGTTTTGGGAGTTCTTTATATTTTTTGGATACAAGTCCTTTATCAGATATATGATTTGTAAATATTTTTTCCAGTTTGTGCCTTGTCTTTTCATTCACTTAACAGTGTCTTTTGAAGAGCAGAGGTTTTTAATTTCATTGAAGTCCAATTATCAATTTGTTCTTTTATGGATCACTCTTTTGGTTATTATATCCAGGAAATCTTTGCCTAACCCACGATCATGAAGGTTTTCTCCTATGGTTTCCTCTAGAAGCTATAGTTTTAGGTTTTATACTTAGATATATAATCACTTTTGAGGTATTTTTTATGTATGGCGAGAGAGATAGATCAAAGTTCACTTTTTTACTCCTAGATATCTGATTGTTCCAACACTGTTGAAAAGATTATCCTTTCTCTACTGAATTGACTTTGTATATACCCAGATACCTATTTCTGGACTCCATTTTATTCCACTGGGCTATTAGCTTATGTGCCAATGCCACTTTGTCTTGATTACGGTAGCTTTATAAGTCTTTAAATCACATTCCTCCATTTGTGTTCTTTTTCAAAATTGTTTTGATTGTTTTGGCTGTTCTAGGTCCTTTGCATTTCCATATGAATTTAGAATCAGCTTAGAATTTCTATTTTAAAAAAGCCTGCTGGGATTTTGATTGGGATTGCATTGAATCTATAGTTAATTTAGGCAGAATTAACATTTTAACAATATTGAGTCTTTTAACCCGTGAGAACAGTATCTCTCTCCGTTCACTTGTCTTCTTTAATTTCTCTTAGTAATGCTTTGTAGTTTTCAGTATACAAGCCTTTCACATCTTTTGTGAGATTTGTCTGTATTTTATATTTTTGATGCTATTATAAATGGTGTTGCTTCTTAAATTTTAATTCCAGTTGTTTGTGTTAGGATATAGAAATACAATTATTTTTGTATATTGATCTTTTATCCTACAATACTGCTAAACTCATATATTCGGTCAAGTAATGTTTTTGTAGATTCCATCAGATTTTCTGCATAGTCAATCATGTTGTCTGCAAATAAAGACAGTTTTACTTCTTCCCCTTCTTGCCTTATTGCACTGGCTAGCACCTCCAGTATGATGTTGAGTAGAAGTAGTGAAAAGGGACCTTATTGTCTTGTTCCTGATTTTAGAGGGAAAGCACTCAGTCTTTCTCTATTAAGTATGGTGTTAGCTGTAGGTTTTTCGTAGATGTCCTATATCAGGTTAAAGAAATTCCCTTCTATTCCTAGTTTGCTGAAGTTTTTTAAAATCAGGAGTAAACGTTGCATTGTCAAATGTTTTTTCTACATGTGTTGAGATGATCATATAGTCTTTATTTTTCAGATGATTAATATGGTAAACTACTTTGATAGAGTTTTGGATGTTAAACCAACCATGATATTCCTGGGATAAACTCTACTGGGTCATTATATACAATCCTTTTTATATATTGTTGCATTCGATTTGTTAAATTTTGGTTAGAATTTTTGCATCTATGTTCATGGGGGATATTTGTCTGTAGTTTTCTTCTTCAATGTCTCCATCAGGTTTTGGTATCAGAGTAATGCTTGCTTCATAGAAAGGAGTATTTCTTCCTTTCCAATTTTCTGTGAGAGCTTATGTAAAATTTGTATTTATTTCTTCCTTAAATCTTTGATAGGATTCAGCAGTGAAGCTATCCGGACCTGGAATTTTCTTTGTGGGAAGTTTTTAATTACAAATTAAAAATTTTAAAAACAGTTGCAGGACTATTGAGGTTATCTATTTCCTCTTGAGTAAGCTTTAGTAGTTTGTGTCTTTTAAGAGACTTGTCCATTTTACCTAAGTTGTCAAGTTTATTGCCATAAAGCTGTTCATAATATTCCCTTATTATCCTTTTAATATCTGTAGAATATGTAGTGAAATCACTGCTATCATTCCTGATACTGTTAATTTGTGTTTTCTCTCTTTTTTTTCTGATCAGCCTGACTAGAAGTTTATTAGTTTTTTGTTTGTTTGTTTTTGTTTTTGTTTAGCGAGGAAGATTGGCCCTGAGCTAACAACTGTTGCCAATCTTCCTCTTTTTGCTTGAGGAAGATTGTCCCTGAGCTAACATCTGTGCCAGTCTTCCTCTATTTTGTATATGGGATGCCACCACAGCATGGCTTGATGAGCGGTGCATAGGTCTGCGCCTGGGATCCAAATTTGTGAACCCCGGGCCTCTGAAGTGGAGCGCGCACACTTAACCACTACGCCACTGGGCCAGCCCCAAGGTTTATTAATATTTAATGAAACCAGCTTTTGGTTTCATTGATTTTATCTATTCTTTTTCTGTCTTCTGTCTCATTGATTTCTTCTCTGATCATTATTATTTTCTTCTACTTACTTTGAGTTTAATTTGCTCTTCTTTTTATACTTTCTCAAAACTGAGGTAGAAGCTGAGGTCAATGATTTAAGACCTTTCTTTTTTTTTTTTTTTTTTTTTTTTTTAAAGATTTT